CTCCATAGCCGCCACCATAGCCACCACCATAACCGCCATATGAGGGATAGCCGTAACCCTGGCCGCCGTATGAAGGATATCCATACCCGTATCCACTGCCATAAGACGGATATGACGAGCCGTAGCCATAACTGGGATACCTAAATATGATAAAATTGAGTAAAGGTTTGACAAATTAAACCTAGAATAGAGAATGTTTACGATAGCAGTGGCGATACTATTAAATTAACGCCTTATTTTTCTCCTGCACACAATCCATTTTATGCTTGGATAACTTCGTCCGCACATTCATGTAAAAAATGGATATCGATTGGAGAGCTCATTGTTAAGCAGGGTCAACCGTTCATTGGGATCGAACCAGTGACAAGGTTGTATTTGTGTTTTCTGCTCGAAAGCCCTATTCGAGGCTTTTAGAGAGGGTCGTGGAGGTGCTCAAATGGACAAAGATGTGGAATTAGCTGTTTCAGGAGGCCTGTGACATAGCGACACCCCAGTGTTGGGGTGGTTACACGGCGGACCCCCCCCCCCTGAATATGGGTTTTTGAAGCTTTTGTTGGAAATTTTAAGCTGTTGCATGATTTTTGAAAATTTTAGCGAGATAGCGTGACGGTTGACCCTTGTGTAGAGTGTTCGCGGTAAAGGGATGAGCCCAGGGCTGCTTCACGCGCCGCCAGGGTCAAGCGTGTGCGCTACGCGACAGGAGGCCCATCGCGCGAAGGCAAAGACGCAGATGGGTCAGCGGACGAGTCGCAGCGCGTGCTGTGCGATGTGGGACGTACTATGGTACATTCTATTTAACTTGACGCGAAATCGCTACAGTACGCGCTGCGACTCGTCCGCTGACCCGTCTGCGTCTCTGCCTTCTCGCCGCGCGACGGGCCTCCTGTCGGGTACCAAGCGTGCGTTGCGGAATTCACGACGGGGGAGGTCGTCCACAGTCCAGTGGGAAGGAAGGGGCCGTGAGTGCCGGTATCAACACTGTTTAGGGCAGCGGTAGCCTGTTCGGGGTCACCGCTGCACAGCCACTGTGCCTCTCCACTGGCCATCTGCGTCTCTTGCTTTCTTGCCGCGCGATCGGCCTCCTATTGGATACCAAAGCGTGCGTTAAAAATCATCGACGGGTGAGGTCGTTTTAGGTCCAGCGGAAAGGAGGAGGTCGTGAGTGCCGGAATCACAGTGAACAGAGCAGCGGTAGGCTGTTTGGGAGCGGATGGGAATCGCGAGACGCCATCTGTACGCAAGGCATTTGTTTACTTAAGGGGGGGGAGGGGTCGGATCTCCCTAGTTTCCGTCCCCTCGCGCCTGTTGACCGTGCTCGCCGCCACCAGCATTCATCTCCGTCAGTCAATATGATTATGTGAGGAGACCCAAGGGTACCACATCTCACGAATTTTTTTCTAATTGCGGGATTCTCCTTCTATATTTAGAAGTACTACCTGTAGCGTAACTTTTGCGTTCTGCTGTAGTACGGCTCAGTCGGTCATTGCTGATGTATAATGGTGGTGTACCGATGGACTGTTGGCTGAAACTCCCTTGTATTCACAAGGTGGAAAAATAAATAAATATATAAATAAATAAATAAAGACGAACTAAATAAAAATAAAAAGCCTAAAAATAAATGAAAGGGAATCGAAATTGAGAAAGACCCACTCAACGCTCTCCTCCAAGAGTCGTCTGCGTAATTTTGCTCGTCTGTACTTTCTTCCACAAGTAGTACTCGTATTCCTCGTCTTCACTAGAGTCGCCCCATGGTGTCTCCCTTTTGACACCACTCTGCAACACCAAACTCTCAAAGATAACGAGGTCTTCAAGTCTATTCGGTAGAGGGCATTGCATGCTACAATCTGACCCTCCTAAGCGCCAGTTTGGCTCAGTATCCTTAAAGCGAGCGAACATCCACGATAAAACGAAGGTGGAAGGGGGAAATAGCATAGTTAGGAGACAGGCGGACCTCTTCAGGGTGCTGACCGGCGCGCAATTTGCAGCGAAAGATTTCACCTCGGCGATCTAACATGGCTCACTCTTGACGCGGTTGGCGGGGTACGCACCGACTATCTAATCACTCGCCGCAGGTCTATACGCGGCGAGTGATTAGATAGCAGAGAGAGCGTAGTGTTGAGAGGGCACAGCGATGAGAGTCGCATCAATGCGCAAATCAGGAGGGAGGTCGCATTCTGTCGGAAATCAGCAAATCAAGGAAGGGTCCCATTTCTCGGGTTTCGGGCCGTTTCAAATGGTTTCTTCTTCATTGCTCCACTGACCACCTCTACCCTTATTTCCAATGAGCTAACTTTTCATCGTGAAATTCTGCCTTTAAGATTACTCACGATCACGGGGTTTTCCCTTTCTGCTAGGGGTTAGTCCCAAACCTTCATAGTGGGAGATTATGCTATTCGTGGATTTGAACACGTTGAGCGCTCTGAACCATATCCCCCTCCCTCCCCTTCTGGAATAAACCCAGATTTCATCCAACGATGAGCGGCCAAAGGCTGTGAGAATGACAAAGTCGCACTTACCCTCGCAGCAAATGCACGGGCAGCAGTCTTTTTCAGTAACGGGCCTCCTTTCTCGTGATGGTCAACCAGCTCTTTCTCGTAAGATGACGTTGTAAAAGGCATGGAACAAGAAGGTAATGATGGCCTCTTCCGGCAAAGCCACTCTTAAATTGAAGCTTTCTTCATGGAAGCTGGTCACATCTAACACACTTTGTTCTACAAAACGACTTACCGTGAAATTCTCTTCTTTCCTTGAACTCGTCGCGTCCCTCAACCAAAAGCAAGCTGTATAGGAGTACCAGAACTATCAGAGATTTCATCTGGAAATGTTTCAATTTTGGTATGTGTCAAAAAAGTTGTCCTGGCTGGACATATCATCAACCGAGGGGTATTATGAATGAGTTTCCCACATTGATGAACATTCGAAGTGAATAACATGAGAATGAATGGCAACGGTAAGTGCAACAGATTCGATACCTCCCGCTGTTACTTTCCAGGCATTTCGAACGCTCATACTCAGCAGTGAACAATGCGGACCCAAACTTGGCATTCTTGCACTCGCGCTAGCCATGACGTAAGAACCGCGGTCCTCTCAGAGAGTAGCGTCCATTTCTTGCATTTTTGAAAAATAATGCGAACTCTTTTTGAGGAACCGGCCCCTTATCAGCAAAAAGCCAGCAAAAACTCGAGTGTTACTGCAACTGTACGTAGACATCTGAAATTGTTCCATCCTGGAAGATCTGATTAGGATCTGATTTTGCGGAGCGTTTTTGTTAGTTTATCAAATAATCACTTTTTGGGATAGAACGATCCATTAATGGCCAAAATCCGGTCAGCAAGGTCATCTCGTAGCAGTTTGATGACCGGCATTCGAATGCCCTTCAGTTCACGATAATTTTCGATTTGCTTTAAGGAAGTCGACAATTTCCAAAACGTAGTGGCTATTTTTTCAGAGCTCAAAGTTCGAGTAGGTTCACATTGGAAACCGGTTTCCTCGGGCACAATATTTTAAAACTTATCAGGTGTGATTTTGTATATTGTCGGTTCAGTTCCATGATTCAATCATGATTTCAATTCCTTGTAAAGGCTGATCAATATTTTTATTTTATTTTTGAACTCAACAGACTCTTCGTCTTTTGTATCAATATATTCTTCATATCGTAACTTACCCTTTACCCCAGCATCGTTGCCATCGGTTATTTATATCCCACTGCGTCTCTATGTAGACATTAACTGTATCAAGTTAACACGTTTTCAAACTATGTAGAAGTAGCGCTATAAGAGGGTGGCATCGCTCCAACAAGGTCAACCGTCACGTTGGACCAATTTCGAAAATTTTACGACCCCCCTCCCCCTCTGGAGGGCCTCGATACGACCCCCCCCCCAGGGCCAACTCCTCACGACCATCCTCCACCACCCTCGCCTGCCGGGGGGCGATTCTATAGTATTTGATTCTGAGATCAGTCGACACAGCCCAACTCCGCCCACTTTTCCTTCCAAAATTACCGTCGAGCGGGGTATATATGGAACGTGAAACGGCAAAATTTTCACACTCACACTCAACCCAAAAGCCCAGCCTACAAGAACCCACTATCCGTTCCATAAAAAAACATCCCTTCCCTTACTGTACATTGACGCTACCTGACGCTACTTCGCAAATACGACCCCCCCTTTTCCACCCCCAAATATGACCCCCCACCCCTTCGTTGGACTTGTCCAACGGACGGTTGACCCTGGCTCCAACATCTACTCCCATACGTGAATATGTACGAGTTCTCCTGTGCACTGTCCTGTCCGAATTTTGTCAGCGCTTTGATTTGCTCTTTTCTTTACTGTCGAGTCACCCACAAGGTCAGTCGTCGCGTTCGCACTTTTTCGAAAAATTTTTGCGACCTCTTCCTCATGGAGCGTTCTGATACGACCACCATACTACACATACAGACGTAAGGAGGCTCATGTACGACCGATCCACCTTTTCTATCGTTTCTAAAGCATGTTCACACAGCTCCTAAATGCTTAATTTGTCTTATTTCTCACGCTGCTTTCGCAAAGTTTTCACCTTCACCAGGTTGTCAAAAAAAAAACCTTTAAAACACCCCGCACCTTTTTACAACCACAACCCCCGCAAATACCATACCGCGTTCCTGACTTGAACTTGATAAACCCTATACACCCCCAATTTCAAATAAACGGACCCTCCCCTATGCAAAGTCTGACGAGCGGTTTGGACCCTGGTTCACGTATAGTGTACAGTGTGTCCAAAAGTTATAGGGACACCCTATTTTTCTTCAATATCTCTATAATGGGCGAATGATTTCTCTCCAAATTTTTGTCAACAATGCATCATTACACCACGGTACAAATATATAAAGAAATTGGTAAAGAAAAATCTTGTAGATTTTTTATAATTTTTTTTTCTAAAGTCATGGCGTCCCAAAAGTATAGGGACACTTCGGCGTTCAAACTTCCGCGCGATTACTCAATGAAACCTGTAATAACAGCAATGATTTAAGGAGCTCAACATTCCTTTACACTTTATAATTTGAGTCATCGCCTCGCGTGCTTTGGGCAAACCTTGGAATCGTTTCCGGCGATATCTGCTCTCAAGCCTCCTTGACGGCGTTTTCTGTTTTTCGTTCTCAAACTGTCTGCAGTTGGCGTAAAGTCCCGTGTGAGTATGCCCCAGAGGTTCTCTATCGGATTCCAGTCAGGATATTATTGTTTCTCTCTTGGAACCACTCCATTGTTGAGACACTCACATGAACGGCGGCGTTGTCTTGTTGAATTTGAAACTTAAAGGGTTGGGAATCGCTGCATGTATGGTACAGAATTGTTTTGGGAATTGTCTTGTAGCCACTGGAGATCAAGCGTTGCGTGACAAAGGCCAGTTTACTCTTACGAAGTGCTGTGAAGGCAGCTCAAACCGTGACATTACTGCCACCTATTCCGCGTGGAAAAGTAGTCTTCCCCAAATCGCGCCAATAGCTTGTCAGGCCATCGGGTCCATTCAAATTAGACTTCTTTCATCGGAAAATTCACCTGGAGCACTACAGTGAATGATATTACATGTGCGGAATCCGCCAGTGCAAAGTGCCTCATCCCATTGAATGAGTCCAGCCTACGTGTTCTCTTTGCAAAAAGAGGCCCGGCTCGCACTCGTCAAGGATGACATAGTCGGAAACTGCCTTTTGAACGATGTGGAGACATGATTTGAGCACACGATTGACCAGTACTTCTCCACAATCGGGTGCTACTTCCTTGCTCAGCCGCCTCACACCCTTTATGGAATTGGATGCAGCATAGAGAATTCGGCGCTTCTGCCTTTCCAAAACTTTCCTAGGTCTCCCGCTCCTTTTTTCATTTACCGTAGGAGTCGATGCTGTTGCAGAATTTGCTCACCAATTGACTGATCGTCCTAATTTCCTTGAAATGCTGCGGTGGCTGAGTCCCATATCCTTGTAACCCGAATTTGGCCTTTCTCAAAGTCGTGTAGGTGCATTTCTTCGTGGCATGGCACTGTAGAAACAAGTGTGGGAAGTGCAGAGCAGTGACAAATTTGATTCACAAACTCACCTGTGAAGTCAAGAAACACTGTGAAGAACCGGCTGTGGCGTGTAGCAAAAATCACAAAAAACCTTTTACAATCTTTTATCTTTCATTTCGCTTATATAAATTCGTACCCTGGTTGCCAAAGTGCATTTGCTGAGAAAAATTGGAGAGAAATCACTGCTTATAAAACAGAAGATACTGTCAAGAAAAATATAGTTGTCCCTCTACTTCGGTTACGCCGGTGCCCACGCGTCCTGGTCTGGAGATCAAATCCTGGGTCGTGAGTCGCCCGGCCAACCAAGCCTTCCATCCCTCCGGGGTCGGTTAGTTGGTACCAGACTTGTCTGGGAGGATAAAAACACTGACTTGTACATCGGCTGGCCCGCACAAGTCATTGTATAGGCCACATCGCATTCAAATTCCCACTACGAATGTTCAAAAGAATTTAGAGTACGGGTGGGACCCCAAAAAGGGACTGATCAACGGCAAATACTATTACCTTCATCCTTCATTTATCCTTTCATCCCACTGCTTTCGCGGGAAGATGTCTTCAATATATACAGCGCTACTCTGAGGATGAAGGAAGGCTGACATCATGACAATCGTGATGTATGCTCTGAGACCCCTCAAATTCATGAAACGGTCTGATGTTGAGTTAAAATTCTATATTTGCTTTCAGATGAAATCTCAAACTGCTTTACTTCTTTTGTACAGTGCGCTGTTCGTCAACGGACTTGATGACTTCGAGGAAAGGAGAATATTCCATGGTAAGTGGTGAATTAAGTTGAAAAAACACAGGTATGAGGTGCGTCTCATTCAAGAATGGCTGTGTCGGAAAAGACCATCGCTGCAAGGTTGTTCCAAGCCTTTTACGATACAGTCCTACAAAAAGGAGCTGAAGGATCATACTGAGAAAGAAGCACTGCTGCTCTCACAAAAAGCAGCAGCCTATCAGTAAAGTAATGAGATTTTTATCAAGTTCATGAGTAGTTTAGAAACGGAATGCTATCAGAGTTTTTCCCTCCCAAGGAGGTTATTTCTATTATTTTCAAACTTATCAAAAGTTTTAGAGAAGCTGATTGTAGAGAAGTTCCAAAAAGGATCCTGCATGGTATGATATCGATGACGATGAGGATTATGAGTACTACTTATGGAAGAAGTATCGACGCGAGAAGCTGCGAAAAGCCCTTGAAGAAGATGGCAACAGGTACGTTTCTTTCAATTGCTTTCCTACCTTTCAAAATACAAGGGTGTTTTAGTGGCAGCACAAGACGAGGGAAACACCGTCACAACGACAACGACAGAACCAATCTTTATTACAGCACTTCATATTACGACTATAAGTAAGTGCAGAAAAATTGCTAAATCACCTCCTCATTCGAAAAGGATCTGTAACCATCATCCAACTAATTTCACAGCACCTTCAGAACATATTTAGATCAAGTATATTACGGTCTTTGGACTAATAAACTTATATGGATGAGTAATGGAAATCATAGTTAGATAGGTGATTACCGATGGAATCATCGATGACACTAATGAAAAATATTAAGGCGAAAATCGTTGCTCATTGGAGTTGAAAGTAGAAGGGGTGGAGGTTGTACCGGTAGAGAAAAAACCGAGAGAAAACGACTTAATACCCAAGGGAATGGCTCCCTTTTTCCGTAGAATTCCACTTTAGTCGAGGCAGTGATTGAGATGAGCTCGGTTGCATGTGCTAGTCCCCATAGCCGTGTGGGAGGAGAGAAAAGTTACCGGACGGGCGGACGCCAAACGTCGGCAAAATAACCGTTCATACGCTACGGGCAGGCTCGAAGAGGGCAAGCGTCGGCCAGTGCGCATGCCAGTTATTCCATTAAGTGGTTGCTGTTTTCTTGAATGTATTAGGGTGGTAAAAAAGTCCTGAGCCGTTTGACACTTTTTTGTTCTTTGCTTTTTTATTCCGCGTACAATGGAATCTACCCAACAATATAATCACCATTGCTTACTCACTACAGAGTCCCACCTAATGTGCAGGTCAGCGACTTCCTTCTCCCAGAACTGAGCAGACTGAGAGTCAAAGAAATCGCTGACCGCTCTTCCAACTTCTTTACCTTTTGGTGAATTCTTTCTTCGCTAGGGATCCCTTAAGGGGATAGAGTAAGTGATAATCAGAGAAGGCAATGTAAGGGGAATAGGGTGGGTGGGGAACCGCGTCCCAGATCAGCTCTTCCAATTCTGCACGGGTCTCTTTAGCTATGTGGGGCCTGGCGTCATCGTGGAGTAGGTGGACAGAAGTTCGTCTCGGTCGTTTTTCTTGAACAGCGTCCGCTAGTTTCTAGAGCTGACTGGCGTAAATGCTGCCGGTAGCGGTATGTCTTTACGGGAGCATATCATAGTACAGCATTCCTCACGAATCCCAGAGGTAGCAAAGGAGACAGCTTTTGGGGTGAAGGTCCGATTTTGCTTGTGTCGGCAGGCCCTCTCTTCGAGGGAGCCACACGGCACCGTGCTTGTTAGAATCGTATAGGACCCCACTCTCATCTCTCGTAATCACGCCTTCCAAAAACCCCTTTCGGTGCGGGCAAAGAAGGAGAAACTGACAAATGGGTACCCGCCTGAACCGCGTGCTATCGGTCAAGACATGAGGAATCCATCGAGTCACCACTTTCCTGTGGCGAGGTCGTGGAGGGGACCGAGGACTGTGGGATGGGTGCACCCGAGTCTTATCACAAGGCTGCGGGTGCTAACGTCCGGATCCTCTTCGACAGCGCCGAGAACGGTGGAGTCTTCTACCTTTTGTGGGCTTCCCAACCTTGTCTTTTCTTTGAAAGCCGTGTCTCCTCCTTCGAAGCCTGCGAACCAGAGCTTGGCACTGATGATGGAAGTGGTGTCCCTTCCCAATGCGATGCTGATAATGTTGACGGTTCCCACTGCTCCTGTGCCGCAGCGCCATTCATTGAAGATGATCGCTCGAAAGTGTTCTTGTGGAATCGACATCATGATTAAAGTTAAAGAAGGCAACCCGGCAATATATATACCTATTGCGGAGAAGTATGATCGACAACGATAGTCTATCACGTAGCAGATTCTAGGTATCGATCAATAAGCGAAAGTTCTGGAGCTTTCAAAAAATCGGCTCAGGACTTTTTTTCCAACCTAATATAACAACTTGAATCAACCTGAGCCATGAACAGGTATTATCCTAGAACTAGAAATTGGAATTTTTTTTTGGAAATGTAGAGGAAGTCGAGACTTTCCTGTGCAAACCCTCAGGAGTACACAGTCATGTTACTGATTGGATCAAATCCGTGGGCTTCCAGTTCGTTTCCTAATTACTCCACTTATTACACAGTGAAGTAAGAGCACGATAGATGCTCGGAATACCAATGTATCGAAGTAGCGGTGGCAGAGCTGGTCCTTGCTCGCTCCTTCCTGCCGGCCGCTGTGACGTCACAAACACGCGAACTCGTCCGCGCCGCCGGTGAGCTTTTCCATGGAGCCTGTAACATGGGCATTGCTATCGAATGTCGTCCTTGCGCTTGGTAACGCATAAATACACGGAAGAGTCAAGGCAGCGATTACGATAAGTTCGAAAGGTTCAAAGGAAACGTGGTGTAGTGCTCAGTGGTACGCCAGTGGGCGAAAAGAGCGAAGAAATCCGTCAAGAAAACGCGAAATGGGACCCCTTTTTTCGGCCGTTGGTTTTCACTCATCAACAGGTAACAGCTAAGAAAGCGGACGTATGAACGAGTTCACCGCAACGCTTTTGATGGCACTGCCGCCAAATCAATGCTCCAGTCGAGATTGCTCCAGTTGTGCCGCTGCTGGCAACGCAGCTCGTCCAAATCACCAACTAAACTAGTGGGCGGATCGCTTTTGGGGGCGGAGTGCTTTCGAAGTCCTGCTCAGCAACCAGCGCACCTTTCGTCGTGAAAGCGCTACACCTCGCTTCCTGGCAGCCAAGTAACTGATTCGTGTGGTGCATATGCTTCCCCGATGCGCTCCTTCCTCTTTATCGCTTCCTCTTTATCACTGGCCTTCAAAGTGGCGGCCGCTCTGCGTGAAATTGAACCGATCAATGTAAAGAGCAAAGTGCAGTGGAGAAGATGCGGGTCTTGGCATGGAGCGCGCACTGACCAGGTTGCTTTAGCTACTGGGGCCCGATAGACGCGCCCATATGTGGCGATGCACATCTCTCCACTCCACCCTTGGAAGATCAGCGCCCGTAATTTCGAGCTACATATTTACTCTCTTCTATATCCTAGGTATCGAATGATTCCTTCCTTTTCTAAAACGCGGAGATCACGGAGGCCGGCGGTGCACGTTATATCAAAGGAATCTTCGCGGAAAAAGCTCCGCCTCCATTACCACAGAAAAACGATACCCTTAGGCCCCTAGCCTCATGAGCATAGCAAAAAGAACGGAACATAAGCGTTAGTTTCGATAATACTAATCCTACACACAAGACAAAATGATCACTCTTTCCGTGGAAGATTCCTTTAAGGTATCGTTTTCTGTGGTAATGAGGGCGGAGCTTTTTCCGTGGAAGATTCCTTTAAGATTTGTCATAATAACCTGCAGCGTCTGCGTTTTCTGCCGATGATTGCAGGTTGTCGTCCTCGGCTGCTTACCACTTTCGCACAGAGGTCATGTTTATGACTGAAATGAAGGATTTGTTGACACAAAACTGATGCAAAAGCCCGAGTCTATTGTTGACAAAGGGCTAACGACTGCATTTTGCCAGTGATTAGCAGTTTTTGCGTGCCGTCTTCCGAAATGGCACTTTTAAACTGACTATCTGTTGTTTTCATCTGGTTCAACTGATTATTTGTCAATGTTCTGACTCAGATCAGCTTTTTCAGTTATCCAACTTACCAATACTCTCCTTCATATCCTTCATCCTATAGCAGTGGCTACAGTTATGGTTATCCGGCATACAGGAGGAAGTTACTGTTGTGGGTTCTCAGGACTCGGCGGTGGGCTGTTCGGCCTAGGGATTGGAAGCGGTATCGGCATCTTCACTCCCATTGGAAATGTCGACATTTTCAGTGGATTTGGTATAGGAATCGGTTAAGTCGTCCTACCTCTGCGTTTGTTGCCATTAAAGAATGTAGATTAAATTTTTTTCATTAGCGAAAATAAAAATTTACTTCGATTTCTGTCTTTATGTATCATATTATGTCATCTTATTGGTCCTATATTGGTCGCCCCCCCCCATGTCGAGGATGTCCTCGACTGAATTCACTGCGCTGGAGTGAATACATTTGCGTAAGGTACTCAAGGCTTCCAAAACCACAATAAAAATTCTATTTTAATTTATGTTTAGTCCTCTTCTGCACAAGCAGAATGGTTCACACAACCTGGAGCTCACTTCAACCGCGAAAAGTTAGATAATTGTTGGGATGAACTACTGCACCCGCGCTGCCTCCTTACTACAGCAGCACCCCTTTTTTATGTTTACGACAACAAAAAGAAGACGAAGAGTGTATCAAAGTGAAGAATTTCCAAACCTTAGGCCAATCTTTTAATATAATATAAAACAATTCTGGCTATTCTGCAAATGGCATTTCGTGGCCATAGTACGAATTATAAGTCGTAACATGAGGTATCCAAAAAATCCCACACTCGCGGAATAGTGAATGGCATAGATGTAATTCACGTACGGATCACAGTGTCCCACGCGGACACAATGTGTGATTCACATATGTGTCGCGTTGTCATCAAGTGGTCACAAAGGTATTAAGGTCCTTCTCGCATGGCAATAACCAAAATCGTCGCGTCGACTCGTTCCCATAAAGGCACTCAAAGTAGGGGTAGTAGCCTGTTACAATAAGGGAAAAGTTGTTGCCAATGGCCTCACTGTCTGGCCGCCCACAGAGTGCCCCATCCCCTTCACGTGACGATCGCCGTTTAGCGAATATCAAAACGAAATTCCGAACTGTAACGGCAATTGTGGTTAGGGTAAAAATCGGTCGTGAAGGTCACGCTAGCGCCACCTTTGTTGAAATCGAACAGCCCTATGGTGTAATTTCTGAAAAGAATTCTCTCCAGCTGACAAGCAGATTTTCCAAATGACAGCTCAGTTAGAGAGACGAATATTAGTTCTAATTCAAATATATCACAAATCGCTGGCGAACCGATCTGTGATTGTTAGCGGTTACGTAGGCTAACGGGCGTCGACCCTTTGGTCGACCTTCGAGAACGCATTAGAGGAGCGTGGTTTGAAAAGCGATTACCGTGATATTGCCTTTGAAATACGGAAACGACACGTCGAGTTAAACGACCAAAATGCTTGAAATGTTTGTAGCAACAGTGGTTTGCCCTTGACTGGCTGTCAGCTATTCGGTTCACTGTACACTGCCGGCCACAGCGCGTGGCTAACACCGTCGCAACCCCCGTCGTCATTACCCGTCACGATCGTCTTTGTGTTTTCGTTATCAAGCGTCCAGTGAAATGCCTTCCGAAAATGATTCATTTGCAGTCATATGCTTCCTAGCAAGTCCGCTTTAACTTTTATCGCATCCTTTTGTCTCCATCAATGACTC